CTGTGCACTTGCCTCCTGCCATGTAAACCCATACTTTCCTACCTCGTTCTGGTAAAATGCTATCTGGTGAGTGATCAGGGTTGACTCTTGTAACAAGATGTTCCAACTGTTCTTTCTGGCATGCAGTGGGGACATAACATCACCCTTTTTGACAAAAATTCATAGCATCAATTTAATTATGAAGAATAAGATAAATCTAAACAGACAGACATACTGTAAAATAACTGAAGAGTATTCTGCAAAAGTGAAATAGTTATAGTGTCTTTCAGTATGAAAGACAAGTGAAGACAGATTAGAGAAAAGCAAAGATACATAACTCAGTGGGACCTTAATCCTACATTAGATCTCAGAACACAGAGAAAACACTAATGGAAAAAAAAAATACAGTGGAATTCAAAAATAACTGCAGTTGGGTGACAAGATGTTGAGTTAAATTTAGCCTGAAGATGCCTTTCCTTTGACTCTTCATGAACTGTAGCCTAATAGAACATGAACAGAAGGAGGCTTTGCCAACCCTCTATTAAAATGGACCGGTGATTCTCAGCCAATCACAGCAGCCAAGCTTCAACCTATCATAACCAGCCAATTGAAAGGCCATATTCAAATGTGGGGCTTTCACCAATCAAGCTGTTTCTATACCTGTTTTCAGTCAATCACAGCAGGCTGCTGGGGTGTGGAGCTGTGATCTGGAGCCCTTTCAGTTCTGAGAGCTGTTCAACTTCCACATTGTCCTTTGCTCAGTTAAATTCTGTAGAACTGAACATGCTTATGTCTCCATTCCACTCACTATATTGCAGTCATTTCAGGCACACTCTCAGGGGAAGCTGGACAAAAGGCATATAAAAACTTTTTGTATTATTTGTGCAACTTTTCTGTAAGTCTAAATGATTTCAAAGTGAAGGTTTTTGTTGTTGTTTGACTATTTGGTAGGTAGATTTGGCACTCAAAATTAGACTGAATAATCACACAGCATTTTCAACAATTTTCCAAGTAGATATTTTGATTTTATTGTCATCAGTGCTGAGAACTCTGCCTCCTGTAAATATACACTACAAAAGAGCAGAAACATCAGAAATCTTGTTTGGGTCATTCCATGAATGGTTGGAAATTCTCTTCTAATCCTAACCTAAAATTAATTTCATGATTTTTTCAAAATAAACCTTAAATGACCAACTGAAACAACACTTAATTTGATTTCTTTAAAGCTTTGGTTTTTTTTGTTGTTGTTATTTTGTTTTACATGTATGGACATTTTTGTTTGCATGTTTGTTTTGTGTACCAGGTATGTGCAGTGTCCATGGTGGTGAAGAAAAGGTATCTTGTTCCTTGAAACTGGAATTATGGACAGCTATAAGTTGCCATGTTTGTTCTTGGAATCAAACCCAGGTCTTCTGGAAGAGCAGCCACTGAGCCATCTCTCTAGCCCCAAACAGCCAATTTTAAAATAAAACATTTTAATATAATACTACCCAAAGATATAGTTATTTTATTCTTATGTGCTGAAATATGCTTGTAGGGATATACTAAAAATATTTGTTTCCCACAATTAAAGCATTATGTTTCAGTAAAGGGAAAATACTTAATGTGGGCAATAGAAGCACTGAATTCACAACCTAGAGTCGTATCTGAATTGAGCTGCACCAGGAAGCATTCACTGGGGCTGCCTGGCATGATGCCACACGCAGGGCAAAGTACACACCTTTGTGTTCAGAATCAAGGCAGCAGCAAAGGTATGTGATACAACATGGTGAATACTGCCAGAAGCATCTTGAATTTATTATGTGCCTGATTTTTGTGAGGGTTTATCCCAATGGTCAACTTAACAGGACCCATCACCCTGGAAATGAACCTCTGAGCACGTATGGGAAAATTTTTCTAGATTAGGTTAACTGAGATCATAGTTTTAGATAGAAACAAGGACAGAGCCAACTATGGAGTCGAACAATATAAAAACTGGGTACTTTGGTGAGGAAAAGAGTGCCAGTGAACTTAACCTTACAGACAAGACAGGTTCAAAGGCAGCTGTAAGTGTTAATGAGATTAGTGCCATTAATGAGCAACTCTGTTCTCAACATCAGAAGAACAAAGTACCTTGATAACAAGACCCAACTCATGGAAGACTCCATCTCATGAAAAGTAAATTCATTTGAAAGGAGAGAAACTAAATGCAGAATTCTACTGAAGGAGTTCTCTGCTTACAAACAACTGCCTAGGACAGTATTTTCCCCAAGACCAGCATGCAAAGACCAAAAAACCACAGTCCCCATAGTCTAAAAGGATTGGACTCCAACCTCAGTTGGCAGCAGATCTTGGTAGCATTATCCACATGGTACTGTTCTGCAGGCATGAAAAATCCTGTATTCAAGGAGTTAGGGAGGCTTGTGTCACAGTTCCAGAGAGCTGCTGAGGCCACATAGTGTGGCAGTCTGAGTCCTTTCACAAATGCTCTGACTGACCACCGCTTGAAGTTGTGAAGGTGGGGTTTAAGTTTCAATGGCGACTCCATGATGTTGGAGATGCCAGAACTACATGATGCTCGCTAAAGAAAGTGGTAATCATGGATGGAATCGATCCAAGAGGGAGTCGTATGCTGCAGATAGAAGAGCTGTGGGGGTGGAGCGACCTACATGGCTCCATTAGGATCCCCTTAGATGCCAGGCGTGGAGCTGTGGAGTTTTGTATTTTCCCTGCTGGGCTTTGTTCCTCCTTTAATCCTGTCAGCCCTAGCTATGTCCCTGGACTTTCTATTTTGGAATAAGACTTTAATTGACATCATTGAATACTGGCATTGTGTAACTTGGTTTTGATCTTATAGATACTCGCAATTCAGAGAATGCAGAGACTCTCCGACTCCCAGAAGAGACTTCGGAATTTATACATTTAAAAAGTTAAAACTGTGTGCGTGCATGCATGCGTGCGTGCGTCTGTGCGTGCGTATGTGCGCGCATGCGTATGGGCGTGTGTGGGCTTCTGGGCACTGAGCTCCTGCTCCCAGGCTTCAGTGGAAAGCACTTTAACCTATGGAGCTATCTCACCCGCTCAGACTTTGGACTTTTAAACAGGGCTGGGACTCTTACAGACGACTTGAAAATTTGAAATTGGCTGAATGACTTCTGCATTATAAGAAGACTGTGAGCCTATGGGGGAAGGGCTGAAGGCTTATGGCTTAAAAGGGTTGTATTGTGTTAAGGCTATCAAGCTGACAAGGAGTGAAATTGTGATGGTCAATATTTATTGCCAACTTGACAAGCATCGCCATGGAAATGACCCTATAGACTTCACTGTGAGGGATTTTATTTTTGGGGTGGTGTGGAATAATTTTTTTGTATACTATAAAGATTTGTCACTTGGATTGCTTTAATAAAAAGTGGATTGGCTGGTAGTCAGGCAGGAATTATAAGCAGGCAACCAAATTGGGAGAATGGTGGGAAGAAAAGGGTGGAGTCAAAGGAGTCACCAGCCAGATGCAGTGGAAACAGGAGATGAAAGTACCATGTTAATAAAGGTACTGCCATGTGGCAGAATGTAAATGAGGAATATAGGTTAACTTAACATGTAAGAGCTAGTTAGTAATAACTCTGAGCTATTGGCTGAGCATTTGTAATTAATATTAAGTCTCCATGTAGTAATTTAAGAGCAGCCCTGGGAAAGGAAAACTCTACCTACAGTTGGGTTAATAGAGGTGGGAAATTCCCCTAAGTGAACGGGCTGGGATCTCAAACTAAATAAAAAGGGGAAAGAGACCAGAGTATTAGCATCCATTTCTCTCTGCTTCCTGACTCTGGATGCAATACCACCCACCTGCCTCAAGCTCCTGCCGCCATAATTTCCTTCCTGTGATGGACAGAACCCTCAAATTGGGACCCAAATCAACATCTCCTTACGTTGCTTTTGTTCAGTATTGTACTATACCAAAAAGAAAGCAATTTAGTTTTGAATTAATCTTTGTCAATGAGAGTACAGAAATCTTTTGCTGTTGGCTAATTTGGGGACCCCTACATTCAGTTACAGGAATCCTTATGGTATATAGGAGACTGAAGGAAATTAGGGACTGATACGTTTAGAGTGTCATCACTCCTTTCCTATGCTGTCAAAATGAGGATCAGAACTCCCGTGGATTCACTCCAGAGACTCACATCATTTTTATGATGGATGATTATTTACTTAGCACTTGTGTTTACACTCACAAGTAGATTTTAATGGTTTACTTACTTATTGTACCTTTACCCTTTGCCACAATTACTCTTGGCTTCTGACCATGATATGGACTGCTAGGTACCTGATTCTTCCCTAACTCCATGTCCCAGTTAGCATTAATTATCAACTTGTTACAGCTTAGAGTCATGTGTGAAGAGATTCTCAATTGAGGGATTTCCCAGACTAGACTGGCCTATGGGCATGCCTACAGGATACTGTCTTAAGTACTAATTGGTGGAGGAGGGCCCAGCCCACCATGGGTGGCACTATTCCCTGGACAGGTAGTCCTAAGCCATACAAGAAGGCTAACTCTCTCTAGCTAGCATGATCCTGTGAGGAAGCCACAAGAAGTTTGCTCTATAGTTTCTGACTTCAAGTTCCTTCTTAAGTTTCTGCCTTGGTTTTCCTTAATAATGAATGGACTGCCACCTAGAAATACGAGCCAAATAAACTCTTTCCTCACTTTAGTCACTTTTGTGAGAGAATTTTGCCATACCAACAGAAATTAAACTAAAATACCCCACTTTATGGACCAAGGTCAGCAGCACACCTAGTCAACAATCATGTTCACGTGTGTGTGTGTGTGTGTGTGTGTGTGTGTGTGTGTGTGTGTGTGAGAGAGAGAGAGAGAGGGGGGGGAGACAGAGAGAAAGGGTATGTGTGTGCATGAAAGTAGAGAATTGAAAATATGAAAGGAGCTTTTTAAAATTTTTAGTACTCTTTATTGAATAATATTATACTGAAAGAAAAAGATGAGAAAATTGCTAACAGCAGATGTTAAAGTTTACACTGAAGCCTGCTTAAGTAAGCAGATGAGGAAACAGAACTTGACCAGCTCCACAGATGTTCCCACTGCATTCAACTCTAATCACCATACCAAGGACAGGCAGCCACTATCAACTTCATATAAACACATACTAATGGATCATTCACTAATATTCTTTTTATGTCTAGCTTTTATTCAATATGCCACTTATGAACTATCCATGCTGTGTCTGTAACATGTTATATAGCACTCATTACCATTGCTGTATAGTGACCTATGGTGCAAATTTACTACATTGTTTTTATCCATTACCTTGTTTATGGATGCTTAGATAGGCTTAGTATAGAAATATTTCATTTTTATCTTATGTGAATGTTTTTTTTTTTCTGCATGTAAATCTATCCACCACATGAGTGTCTGGCTTTCTAGAACAGGAAATCCAACATCAAGGACAAAGGCAGGACTGTGGTTTCTTTGGCCTGAGGACTGTCTTGATTGTAAAAGGGGAAGAGAAGCTATTTGGAATAATCCAAATGTCCTGTTCTAATTTCAATATGGGTTATCAGTATATACATTTGCTCAGACTCTGAACTACACACTTAAAATGGGTGATCTGTGTTAAATTATGCCTTAATAAAACTACTTTTAAAACCCTGTTTCTGATGTCTTCTATTGAAATCTATAGGACACGGTCAAATTAGGGTGTCTCGTCTTCCACGGGGATCACTCAAAATGTCAAAAGCCTCCTGAGCACTCCAGTAGAGAGCCATGTCTACCTAGAAGGAAACAGTTGCCAGTACCTTTAGAAAGAACTGTTGTGATGGAAGACGTCACAAAAGTCTAGTTCTGGCTACTTTGGTCACCTCATACTCCACAAATGACTTAGTTTCCGTTCCCTGAGGCTCCCTGCCAGTCACTCAACAAACCAGCCAACAGCACACTTAACAAGCTGGCCCCATCACCACGTTTAAAATCTACAACAAGGCATTTCCAGAGCCTGGCTGGGAAAAGAAAGATCCCCGGCTGCTTTCCCCAACATTTTACCTTGCAAATCCAATCTTCACTTGGAAATTTAACTCCCAAGGGGAGAACAGACGGCACCCGTGTCTCAGAAGGATCCTCTCCTGTAGAGCGCGGGAGATGCGGTATTTTAATAGCTGCCCTCAGCCCCTCCTCTGGGAGCATATTATATGGTCATTAGTGATGGGCAAACCTCTCTGGATTTCCAGGTTTGGTTCTCTGCCAGCAGTCCTGAGTTCCTCCTTTTTCGAAAACTTGAAATTCTTCTTTTCTTTTTCTTTTTTTTTTTTCATTTATTTTTGTTTTATTTGATTCTCTTTTACTTAACTACCTGCACATATGCTTTGGTCTCTTCTTCACAGGAACAAGGAAGAGGAAGGGGTGACCGGTAGGGACTGTGAGCTCCCGGCTACAGTCTCTGTTGACAGCTCATGTGCCAAACAGAGCTGTAATCAGGCTCCAATTCAGCCCAGTCAAGAATAAGTGATGGGAAACTCACTGTGTGCCCACGTTCTAGAGATGCCCAGGGTATTTGCAGGTGAAGAAGAGGCTCCCCTGAAAGATGCTGAGACAAGCAGGCCAGTGGACACAACTAACACAGATCCAGTAGGACCCTGGGCTCTAAGAGGGGTCTGGGATCCAGAAAGCTAGAGAGAATGCTTCCAACAGGTGGGAAACAAATGTACTCATTCCTCGCTTCTCAGCTTCTGGAATATAAAAACAAGGCATTTAATTCATTATATGTGATCTCAGGGACTTTCATTGAAAATCTCCACCTCTACTGTTCTCTAGAAAATTAGAATGCTGATATTTATTCCATGAGCTGTCTGATGGACTGAATCTATAATCTTGGGATTACATTGAATTCAAGCCCATTGAACCTTGACAACAGGCTTGAAGTCAAAGCCCGAGCTTGTGAAACCTACCCTTCAGTCAGAGGCCAGCTAAAGGCATCCTGGGCGCAGTGGGGAACATGAAGTTTTAAGCCCTTCCCATCGTCCACAAGAGGAATCCCAGGATACAGCCTGTCCCGTGACCTTGCAGAAGGCTGGGAATGTCCAGGTCACAGGCAGCAGCTGGTCTAGGAGGGCTGCCAGAATTTCTGGGACACTGATGCATTCAGAATAGGAGAAAAAGGAACATTGGAGGGGGTGCTCGGCCAGGGAAGGGATGAGGAGCTCAGAGAGCCTTGCACTGATCATTTCTGATTGGTGTATTTCATTTAATCTGAAAATAAGTGAGTCCCTTATGTGTTTTCTCCTGAACACATTCTCCAGTGTGTTCAAAACTATAATGTGTCTACTATAAATAATTTCATGTAGTTATCATACAAAATTTGCTTTTCTTCCCAAAGAGCAGCCACTTACCTTTGGACCTGTTTCCCTGATGTGTAATTAAATCAGGGAGGCCATTTCTGCCACAATTAAGGGCTTTCCACTGCTTTTGGTGAGCCTAAAGTTAGCATGTCTGATTCTTAGGGAATCCCCACCCCACCAAATCACCCGGATGGTCTGTATCCTGCCAGTTTTCCTGGTTCTCCCAATTTTGATTCTCCTTAGGCCTGCTTACACTGTGTTCATCACTGTCGGTAGAAGATCACAAGAGCAATAATAAATAAAAATCTACCCGTGGTATTGTAATGTATGGATGTTACTGTTTTAAGGTTGTTTTGACTTTTAAAAGTGGTTTTGCATGGCCTACAAGGACACCAGGGACCCACATGGTACACATACATACATGCAGGCAAAACATTCATACCCATAAAGTAAATTTAAATAAGTCTTAAAACAAGCCAATAAACAAAAAAAGGTTTTACAAACTAGAAATGGACAGAGGATAGGATGTACCTAGAATAAATGATGTATCAGAGTAGCTTGAAAAGTGTGTGTGTGTGTGTGTGTGTGTGTGTGTGTGTGAGAGAGAGAGAGAGAGAGAGAGAGAGAGAGAGAGAGAGAGAGTTCTTAGCTGTGGGAAGTAGTAAACATTCCTATTCATCAGCCTTTGCTGCATCAAACCACCCCAAAATTTAGGAGTAATGAACAAGAACTTACGTTTTGCAGCCCCTGGACAGATGGGTTAGGACATCTGCTTCAGGCTGAGAACTGATGTGCCTGGCTCCGAGATCTCAGCTTCTTTCAAGTGTTCCGAATCACCCTCTGTGCTCAGTCCTGTGAAACTGTTGCTACCCTCAGTTGCTTCTCTGATTCTCCCTGCAGTAGAAGTGAGTGCCGGGTACAGCCTTAGTGACGTGAAAATCAGTCTCTGCCTTCAATGGCTAGACAGACATTTTTTCCAGCTCTAGTCCCTTTTGAAACTGGATTGGACCTTGGTCTAGTCTGTGTTTTCTAGAGGAACAGAACCAAGAGAATGAATATATACCACGAAGGAGAGTTATTAGGTTGGCTTAGATGATGTGCACTGGGTAGTCCAACAATGACTATCACCTTGCTGGAGAGGTTGAGAACTCAGCAGCTACTCAGTTCCCAAAGCTGGATACTTTAGCCGTCCCAATCTGATGCTGAAGGCCTAGAAGGTTCCTAGGTAGCCACTGGTCCTCATTCCATGTGAAAAGTCTGAAGAAACTGAGCCCTGAAGAAACGTCAGCAAAGGATGACAGCAGATGCAGCAATAGAGTAAATGCATCACATGCAAAGAGTAGAGGTGAGGGGGGTGGGGGGTGGGGCGCAAAAGCAGCACTGTGCCTGCTCCAGATCCCCTTATATCTGGGCTACCAGGAGAAGGCACTGCCTGCTCTGGGGGAGGGTCTTCCGCATCCAGCCAACTCTTTCAGAAAATGCCCTCGAAGATTGGCCCATAGCTTGATCCCAGATCCAAGCAGGTTGACAATCAAGATTAGCATCACAGACCAGGTGATCAAGTTTTTCCAGTGAAATGTGGGCAGAGATGGTACATATCACTCCCTAACAGCAGCATCTAAAGCTGATGCTTTCTTTCTACAATTTACCTCTCTAGTCAAAGCTAAAGCATGTGGAGGGCTTTAATGTCCTGGTGGTGAGGAGAGTTAAAAGGTGGGAATTCTGGGTCACTGCAGATGGCTTCTTATAAGCAATCAATAAGCACTGAGAAGTTAACCTTCATGGCTGGTTTTTGTTGTTGTTGTTTTTGTTTTTTAATGGCAGTTGTTAAAGGCTGCCTATCCCATCATGCCAGAAAGTGTGTCAGTCACTGGTACTAGATACTGATTAAGCAAAATGGAAAAGTCCGCTCAACGCATCAGAGCATTCAGCTGAAGAGATGTGTCCTGCTACAGAAGGGCTTCCCGCAGCACACTCAGCCCACAGCTGACTTCCATAAAAAGGCAGCTGAGGTTGTCAAGGACTCGGCCTTTGTGATGCTTGCATCCCACATCCAAACTCTCACATTTCCTTCACCATCCATCAGAGACCTTCATTTGAGCAGAGGGATGTGAAGAGTTTCGCTGGCTGCCTGTTACTCCTCTGCTCACTGAGTGTCTTTCTGATCAAGTCAACCTTGCTTTTGTTCTGCTAGGGACTCTGCTTACTGAAATCGATCTGTTTTCACAAAGCCGAAAGCACTGTTGGCCGCCATTACAAATCTGCACGGGCACCAGCCATACCTACTTGGATAGGTAGAATACGTGCCTGCTGAGGATAATCATTAACCATGTCTTGACCCAGTTTCAAGCCAAGGCTTTATGGGGTGGGAGCAACGAGGATAACCGCGCAGACACCTCTGCTGAAGGGCATCATCCTTCAACTACAGACCAGTCCAAGACCAAGGAGGGCCGAGAAAGAAGAAATCTTACTCCTTTGCCCAATATCTATCACTCTTCTGCCGTCTCTCCCTTTCTCTCTCTCTCTCTCCCTCCCTTCCTCCCCCTCCTCTCCTCCCTTTCCTTTCCCAACACAAATCCAATTATCCAATTGCTTCAGCCCTCTAGCTGGCACAGCATCTATGGTCATGTAGCAACTCCATGCTCAGACACTCTCTGGGAGCCACAGCGAAACGGCTCCTGCTTTTCTAGTTAGAGCCAGCTCTTGCCTCTCCTTCTTGGGTCTGTGCTGTTTGCCTCTCATTAGCAGAGTTCAATCCCAGACTGCACATGGCTTCTATCCCGCCCACTCCCACCCTCCGGCCTCGACCAGGTACAGTATTTTCTCCTTTGTTCTGCCAGACATACCTTTATACTGCGGGACTGCCTTCTTTTAGAACCCATGAATCTAGCTTGGTAGCTCCCAGCCGTGAGAGGGAAAGCAGACCCTCTTAGAGCTCCACAACCATCACCATAAACAAGAGTCTCCTTGGCATCCACAGAGGGACAGGAGAGACTCTGCTGTTGGGAACAAAAACACTTTATTTTGAATCTCCCCGCGCAGTATCACTGAGAGCTGGAAGGATGGGGGTGGCAGGGCATGAAGGAGAGGGGAGGAGAGCACACAGCAGAAAGCTTATTAACCTTTCCAAGAGGCTTGTGATTCAAGCTTGTGGAGCTTAACTTTTTTTTTTTCTCTTCCAATTATTTTAATGATGCTGCAGGAAGTCTGAACTTCTGTGCTGGGACTGTGTCGCGGCCACGGTCCTAACTGATCACATGGTAACATTCCGACCCATGCTGGGTCACCCCTGTATGAAAAATCAGCTTGGGAAAACCACTCCTACTGCTCAAATGCATCTCTCTCTCTCTCTCTCTCTCTCTCTCTCTTCTCTCTCTCTCTCTCTCTCTCCTCCCTCCCTCTCTCCCTCTCTCTCCTCTTCCTCCTCTCTCCCTCTCTCCCATTCCTCTCCTCCCTCTCCCTTTCCTCTCCTCCTCCTCCCCTTATTCCCCTCACTCCTCACCTCTGTATAAAAGGCTCTTTTTGGAAGACCTCTGAAGCTTAAGTCTTAGATATCAGCTTTGGTTCAGAGTTTATTAGTTACTTTGTTATCCTCATTCACCACTTCCCTCAAGTAAGTTTATGTCCACTCTAAATGGCAATTATGTGACTCTAATTCAAACCATTTTGTGTCATCCAGATCCAGGCACATTACTTGATCTCAATAATAGAGGAACATACCAAATACATTTTTGTTGCTAAAGAAACTGTATTCATGTAAGTTAGCTCTCAAATCATGGTATGTTTTTTTTTCCTTAGTTTTAATGCACTCTTCATTTCATTTTTGAGCAAGAAAATGAAACTATGCATAAATTTAAGAGTCAAGTACTGTAGTTTGTACTCAGAACCCAGATGCAAACCTAGTCATATTTAAATAGAAATCTATATTAGGCAGGTGGGGGATGGCTCACTGATCTTTTAGTAGGAGGAGACAGGGCTGGAGATGCAGAGAGAAGGAGGCAGGGAACTTAGAAGAGGAAATTATGCTCCACCCCCAACACATTTCCCTAGAGCCATTGCTAGATTCTCAGGAACTCACCACAATCAAGCACAGGACACTAGTGACAGAGGAAAAGATGGTCAGCGCCTCTTCTCAGGAGAGAGACGGGGAGGGTGCAGGTAAACGTGCATGCTCCACTCTAGACAGATTTTTGTTAGGGAGCCAAGACTGGCCTCAGCTTGAGTGCAGATTGAGTTCAAACTCAAAATTCTGCTGCTCTTGCCTCCCAAGACCTGTGATTACAGGCATGTGCCATTATGCTTTGCACTTCTCAAGTATACAACCTCTTGGATTTTCCAAAATTGAACACACCTGTGTTACAAGCAGCAGGCTACAAAAAAGAATATTCAAACATCCCAGAAATCCCCTTAATGTCTCTCCCAGGAACTGTTCAAACTCCAGAGTGACCTAAATTCTTGCATTAGAGAATAACGTGAATTTAATTACTGAATGCACTCTTGTTCTAGGCTTCTTTAGCTTGGCATCCTGTTTGAGAACTTCCTGTTTTGTATTGTGGGGTATTCTGTTGCTCCTTTCCACAGTACACCCAGAACTACATATACTTGTGCCCCTGATAGTATTCTGGAAACTTCCATAGCTGATCTGCACCCCTCAGGCAATGTCTGAAAGTCCCAGCGGACCCTCATCCTGGAGAGTGCCCATAGTTTTCAGTGCTTACTTCTACTCTTCAGGGAAATTGCTTTCTAAGTTTACTGCGCATGTCTCCCACATGCTAATTTCGATTTCTGTGCATTTCCAGTCATCTCCTAAACTACCAGGAGCCAAGCTGCTCATCACGTCTTCCTTGTAGGAAGACTTTCTTCTCTACTGCTGTTCCCACAACATTTCCTCTACCCTTCTTCATGTACTGAGTTTTGTGCAACTCACACATGGAGCTACCTCATTTGTACCTGGCAAGGCACTAGATTTGCTCTGTGTTTTCACCCAGAGGCAGAGTTCCCAGAATAGCACACTATTCTTCAGATTCTTTTTGTACACACACACACAAACCCACTGAGCCTACTTCAGAGGAGAGTGGACCAGGCTCCCATTGAGCTGGACTTTGTAGTATTTGTCCAGTCACTCTGATGCCTAGCAGCTTTACTGTGGATATTCAATACTGATTAAAACCACTCAAGAACTTAAATAGTGTAGGATATTGAGTGATGTGGTTACAATAAACACACACACACACACACACACACACACACACACACACACACACACACACAAATCCAAAAACAAAAGGTCTTAAGGTTAGGGCTGTTCTTCAGTTTCAGAACTGTGTTAATTATGTTACTCATTATGTGAGAGCCAAAGTTACATTTTAAGTTTTAATTACTATGCCTTAGAGATCCACAAAACGAAAATGCCTCTTATCTGCAAGCCCCTTGCCCAAGGACAGATACTTCCTGAAATGCTGGAGGCTATTGTTTATGGGAGATAACAAGTCACATGTTTTCACTCCCCTAAACAAGTTTGTTTGACCCATCTGTACCAGATGTGCTTGATCACATGTGGGCGGGAGGTTCACAGGCGGGAAATATGTCAGGATATACACTTAACCCTGATTGTTTATAGGTTGGAGGTATGTCAGGTTGTTTGCTTGTCCTTGATTGGACCTGATGGGAAATGAAGTGAATTATGGATTTTCCCTTTTAAGCCCTTGCCATACTTGATTCTAGCCCATTTCCCAGGAACGTGGGTATGGACCTGGCCAGAGTCCATCCACCTGGCCAGTATTTAACTAAAGCTTGCTTCAAATTTGGCTTTAAATTATGGTAGTGGTCTTATTCTCAATCAGTGGGATTAATATCTTCTGGAGGCCCCCAGTGAGATTCAAACCACCCACACAGAATCTAAAGCTAGATCTTCACTCTGGAATTGAGGAGATGAGAGGCTGCTTCAGGAACCACATGCTTTGAGATGGTCCAACGCTCCTAGGCTGCCTTCAGTTTTCAGACTATTAGAGTAAACTGCCATGCCAAGAAATGCAGCAAGCACCTATGGAGGCCTGGTGAATGATCGTCTGTTACTGCTTTGTGGGATCCCTATCTGGGATGTGGAAGGGGTTCAATGAGGCCTCCATATTCTCCTGTCCAGGGCATAAAGTCATGTGACTTCACCATCTTTGGGCTACCACAGGTCTGGCAGCCATCTTAGCTAGGGTTAGAGAAGATGGGTGTCATGTGACTTCACTGCCATCTTGATTAAAGGAGACCATATGGAGTGAGTCTACCAAGGTGGCAACAATAGGTCTCCAAGATATTTTGGATTAGGATGGACTTTAGTGTGGTAATTGCTGTCTTGTCCTGAAAACAAGGTTTATGAAGGTTAGTGTTTTAAAACAATGCTTGTTTAATAAGGAAGGTATTAAAGCTGCAACTCCATGCTTTTATAAGCAAGAATGTACCTTGCTCTGGCAGCTAAACTTTGCAATTTAAGAGTCACCAGATAATAATGGTTTTAAAGGCAAGAAGGGATCATGGGGAACATCTGAGGTTTGCAAATGTGTGGCAGGTAGAATTCCTAAAGAGAGCCCAATTGCAATGGTGGACTTTAGCAGTTTTGAAATGCTAGAGCCATGTGATTGTCACCAGAAGCATCAGCCTCAATGAAATGGAGCAGGCTATGTATATGCTGTCAAGGGTGGGGCCAAAGAGGCTTGGTGATCCAAGTTTCTCTAGAAAATCTCCAGAGCGATTGTGAGTGAACCCCAGATAATTGGGCTTTAAAATGTTTGCACTGTTGGAACTTGGTTTTGTCTTATGCAGATTGTGCTTATGCCCTGTTTTCTCCCTCTTGAAGTAAAAAAAAAGTACTTTATTTTTGATATAAGAGGAAATTTTAGAGTTTTACAGAAAATTAAAAAACTGGATTTTTTTAAGGAATAGTTTTTAAAATATTTAAATTTATAAGGCTATGGGACATTTTAAGTTTATAAAATATTTTGTATTATTAATATTTGAACTTAATAAATAAAAGACTAAAAATTAAGGCCACAGCTATGAGCACCAAATATTAAATACCAGAAACTGGGATATTCCTATCTTATGATGTAGCAAGACAATGACTTAAGCAGTCTGACAAAGGGCTTGGAGTAGCTTTTCAGCCTACAAGTCTCAACCTCTTGGGGGTTGAAAGACCTTTTTACAGTGGTAGCCTAGAACCACCTACTTGTTGAATGTTTACATTGAGATTCATAACAATGGCAAAATTACAGTTGTATAATAGCAACAGGAACGATATAGAGAACCATATTGAAGGGTTGAAACATTGGAAAGATTGAGAACCACTGACTTAGAGAATGCCTTTCCTTACCTAACGTCTATTCATGCTGAAGAACATATGTCTAGCATCCTTATCTTTGCTAACTTTGTTAAGCTTAAGCTATGTTGGTAAACTGAGTCATATAAGAAACTATTATATTCTGTTGTAGTATAAAAGGATCAGGAAATTTCCCAGTCTCTCTGTGGACTATGTTTATGAGTTAAAAGGTTTATACTAAAGGAGCTTCAATTCAGATTTTTTTTTTTCTTTTAGAGACAGGGTTTCTCTGTGTAGCTTTGGTGCCTGTCCTGGATCTTGCTCTGTAGATCAGGCTGGCCTTGAACTCACAGAGATCCGCCTGGCTCTGCCTCCTGTGTGCTGGGACTAAAGGCGTGCGTCACCACCACCTGACCAGAAATTGTTTTGTAAGGGACAAACTTAACAGAGATAAAGCTATAAAATCCTTTCCCAGGATCAGGCTTTTAGGCAAAAGCTCGCATTTCCTCACGGACTTGAAGAAATTCCTGCTTGCTAAAAAGGGAGTCATTCTTCTTCTCTCTGGCAAAAGGAACTTGTCGTCCTTCCATCAATACATGGTTGTGGTGCCCATTAACTTGTCAAGGGCAATGCTAGCCTCTAGGCTCTCCAGTCCCTGCTAGCAAGCTCTACTCCAGCAAGTCCTAGTC